TGCATAGTTTTCATCTGGTACTTCAAATGTAGCTCCTGACATCTGGTGGCACTTTTTACATTACTATAATAACATTTCAGCTGGGTCATGAACAGCCACTGTGACTAAAATAATAGTAGTAATAATAAAAAGCGGACAAGAATAATCTGATGACATCAGGCACGTCATGAAAGACGATCAGGGATGATTGGTCGTGCACCAAGGTGTCGTCTGTTTTGTCTGTCGGCCATGTCACAGCAAGATTTTACAACTCCACAGCCCCCTAATCTGACATTGTGACTATCAGAATAGACAAAAATGTCATGTAGTCTGAACCAGGCATTGTAATGTGCACACCTTTTAAATTGCTGGAAAATATTGCGCCATTGACTTAAGACCAGATTTATGTCTGTCAATGGTGCAATCACTTTCTGCTGCCTTAAAATAGCAATACACCAGCAATGCACCTGGCCACACCTCATTTTAAGACCTACACGCCTATGGGTGCACAGATTGCCACAACAACATGGGCTCTGGCCATAAAAATGACAGCTGCTCCAGTCTGAAACTAACAAGGACAGCTGCATTACGCTGTGCACGCTTTGCAGTGGTTTTAAGATAGAACCCATAAATAAGAAGTAAAGGTCTATTTTAGTAATTCCATTCATTCCTTTGCTGTCTGGTTAAATTTAAACTCTTTTTAGATTTTTTTTATTGGCAGCTCCAAATCATGTGAGATTCTGTCTCTTTTGTTACCCTTCCTGCTTCTCTCACTCTCTTCCCCTCTCCTTCCCTCTCTCTGTGCTGCTGTCAGTTCCTATGAGCAGACAGGCCCGTGTTGTGTTTGGGCCACACAGGGCAGGCTGAAGCTGAAGCCGCCTGACTCACAGGCTCTCGGCTGTTGAGAGAGAGAATGTCACTGCACATTGGGTTGCCTTCATGTTCCACAAACGTATGCACAAACACACACAGCAAACAAACACACAATGGTAAGGTACACACACAGACTCACAGCACACAGACAGTACACACACACAGCAAGCCAAGCAAATCCCAAATACACACAGTCACACTGGGTTATTTTTAGCCCAGCCACTCGCATGCAGACTCATATGCAACAGGAACTGCACATGATGGCTCTGAATGAATATGTGGCATATTTTGGCATGTTGTGATTTGCCGCTGCTGCCGGACAATGATTGATTCATGGTGTCATCTCTGTTGAGCCAAGATGGAGGGAGAAAGTAGCGTCAAAGTGATATCTCACTCAGGACTGCTTCACACAGAGCATGTGTGGATCATTGGATTCAGACTCTCAGGAGCTTCCACCTTTGGTTCAGGTTTTTATTTTGGCCCGAGCATAGCCGTGCCATGAACCCTCAACCCAAGTAACTCCAAGTAATTGCACCTGTATGCCTTTATATGCAGCTTTGACTCCTCCCTCCAGCAGAGCTGTAATGTGATTCAATAGCACTGAAAACATGAGGATCTGTTCTGGTTACTGAGACACGGCCTCACACTCACAAGTCTGTGTTTATGTGGCAGCTCAGGCAGAAGGGGCCTAATTTCAAAATCACTTACATTAACAGATTTGTTCTCAGAGGGGAACTTCTGTGTTTTTCAACCTGGATTCTAAGTTCTCATGTTTTTGTGTCTAAGTGACTCATGGGAACAACAACTTTTGAAAGTGGCCCAGTAGTGATGGAGAGCACTGCAGCTGGCAGTGGCAAAACAGGCTGCAATGTAACCACTCAGGGCAGGTGTGCCCCGTCAATTTAGGTTCATCAAAAGTGTTTGTTTTTGCCACTGACAGGCTCAGATTGTTATTATGAGTGTCTTACAACCTGGGTCTTCAGAAGGGGGTCCATGACCTCTAGGGGATCCCCAGAGTAACTGCAGGGGGGGCGCCAAATTATTGTTTAATCGTTTTTGATATATACTTCATTTATTTATTTATTTATTTTTCCTTCAAAAAATTAAAATGTGACTAGAAATACACATTAACACAAACCCAACATATTTTGTCTTTTGCAACAATTTATCTTTGTGAAAGTAGAGTTTCCACCTTTACCGAGCTGAAAAGCAATTACAGGTCAAGACTGCAACCTGAGGCTGATATGGCTCTCTGCATGACAACCTCCTCCCGCCCAGTTTAATATGCTGTGCGACTTAATACAATATATGTAGTAGAGGATCCCTACTCCACCTCTCTCTCAGCTAAGGTGTCCTTGGTCTGAAAAACATTGAAGTCCCCAGTCTTACAACATTCTGGAAAAGACCCAATAGAGAAATGAAAGTATTTTTCCATACCTTTTGCTTGTTCCTGTCCATTTTGTCTCCAAGTCTCACTTAAGAAGAAGTCTCCTTCTGAAATCTTGCAGACTTTTTCCCACTATCAGAATCACCTAATTATTCAGCCATGACACTAAAAATCTTTAAGGTAAGAGTAAGATGTGCTTTCTGTACAACCCAACAAAAGCTTTTACTGTGGCACCCCTCTTTCCAACTCTCTCTCACATTTACACAATTTTCTTCCTGCAACAAGTCACCTCTCATGAGCTCTAAGCCTGTGGCAAAAGCAAGCACTTTTAATGACTATTGCCCCGAATGATGAGCCTACATTGCAGCCTGGTTCACCTCTGCAGACTGCAGCACCCTCTCTCCATACTGGACCAACTTCAACAATTGTTGTTCCCACAAGTCGCTTCAGACCTTTTTTTTGTTTCCACTGTGAAAAGTTGTGGGTGGTACCAGTGGAACCATTCCTTACTGTTCCCATTTTTGGTCAATAGAGGACTGTCACTCTGCTCAGGGCTGAGTTGTGGCTGGTTTTGAGGCTTATGTAACCTCTGCTCATACTGTGGACAGTTTAACATATATTAGCTAACCATAACTATAAAATGAGATGATGCTTTGCTGCGTCTTGCAGCTTGACTTGAGTGAAAAATAACTTAATTCACCGGGCCCACTGCTGGTAACTTTTATGGCTGAACGTTTACTTGTGATGATACTCAATGTGTGAGTTGACGACGTGAATCCATGAACACAGCTTATATTTCAATGTGACAACTTTTACCATTCCATTTGTTTTTATTGTCTCTCTTGGGTGACATACACTTTTACGAATGAGCCTATCTTCAAGCGTTTAAAAATATATATTAATTTTAACCATAATGTGTGAACTGTATATATTTTAATCCTCATTTGGAGAAAAAAAAAAAGCCGTTGTTCCTGTGGACTACGGTAACACTAAACCCCTGAGCTTGCCTGAGAAGGACTACATGCCCAAAGCTGCTATTTTTAAATATCCAGTGGAGAGACACTCTCACTCCAGCCTGTTGTATTTTGTTCTGGAAATGTCGGCATGCAGTCTTGTTCTGTGGACAATAAACAAGGTGCAGACTTCCATCTGCGTCACTGGTGATGAGGGAATACTGCAGTGCTGGATGGAGCAGTGAGTGACAACAACCCCAGCTACATTTAAGAGTACTGCTTGCAGTGGAAAAGCTGAACAGACCTAGGGTCTAGGTACCATGTCTGAAGGGTTACTTTTGGCTCCAGGTAAAAACATACAGGCATTCCCTTTTAAGTGGCACATGCAGGTGCTTTATGAGAGCTCCCATTTACCAGCTTTTGCCTGGTTAGAAATGTTTTGATTGGTATGGCCAGATTTTAGAAGTGGTCCACACCTGTTGTAGTGGACCAGTTATGTACAGATAGTTTGCTTTTACTTTTTTACAGGGGGAAACATTTGTTTGACTTAAGATTTTAAGTTTAAATATGGTACCGAAACCAACTAAAAAATATCTGTTGAATATTAAAGTAAAACTACTACCTGAGGTTCGACAGCAAGATTTTTTTGTCTAGATTTTATGGGTATTTCAGCACAACCACTGCTGCTGACTCCTAAATATGTTGTGGTTTTGTCTGCTGATTTCAGACAGCAGAATTTGAAGCTCTGCAGACTGAGTGAATGACACCACAAACAGAGGAGAACATATAGCATATGTAGCGATTGATATGCTAATGTTGACGTAATTGTAGCATCCCAGACTTGAACTAAAAATGAGACAAATAATTAAAAAAATATTTATACATGTGATGATTCTAACCGTCTGTTACTTAACATATTGTGGCACATTCTTAGCCCAGTTGCCAAAAAAAAAAAAAAAAAAAAAATGTTGAAAGTGATGTATTATATAAGCTGACGTGGTCATCTGGAGGTGGAGGAGATGGTGGATGGTGTGATCGCTGCACTTCCAGCGGCTTAGCCACCAAAACACAGGTGTTTTTATAGCCAATGATAGTGCCATGAAAACAACTGTTTTTTACTGAGATGTAGACTAGCTTCCCCAGCTGTGATTGTGCCACCAAAATCATGTTATTTAAGCCCTGTCATGATCTTTTCCTTACCCTAGCCAAGTGGTTTTAGCACCCCAACCAAATGTAATGTTCCCATGGTTTGCAGAATGGTACAGTGCTAATACTTTTACTGGCGATCAGGGTGCTTTTTGTTTTGCATGTACGTACGTACGTCAATATGACATACTAACTAATAACCAAAATAAGAAGCCACAGAAGATAAAAGTTATTTTTAAAATGGATAATAGACAAAAGATGGGAGTATTGTGGTACATTAGCTTCTCATTTATCTGTCTTTTCTTTCCTGTGGGATTTTTATTGATAATTGGCATTCAGAGAGTTTGAAAAATTGCTAACACAGAAGCACTTCCTGAAAAAGATGAAACAGATAAAAACATGAAAAGACATTTGTCCTTGTGTTTATCCTTGGATTTTAATTATTGGATTTATTTATGTTCATTGTAGTGCCACTACTTTTTACATGTTTTATTGGACATTATACAGATTTATTTTATGTTTATTTTTCTGTTTGTTTTGCTGATGAGACATTCCACATGAGTCCCTCAGGATATCTTCCTCCCTCACCTGCAGCTGACAGTTAATTTTTTGTATTTTGTATCCTTACAGTGTTTCAGCATATGTGTATTTTTTCTCTGCAGCAATCCATGAGTTCCCCAGAGATTACTTCACCAACCAGGAGCGTGTTGATGGAGCAGTGGGTCTGCACGTCCTCTGTGTGAGTGTTACCTGCAGCACTGTATACACACACTTAGAAAAGGGTGCCAGTGCTTAATAGAGCTGCTGCATTTCAAGTAGCTCCTGTTTTCTTCATTTGTGTTTAAATCAATTATAACATTGGACATTAGAAAAGGCTGCTGTGAAGGAAATCACAAAGCTGCTATTACAAAGCAAAAGCTCTTGAATAAAACACAGTTCAAAAAGTGATTTAAAAGATGCCAAATTGTGAATTCTGATTAGTGATGATATTTCCTGCCAGGACTTCACTGGTGTTGAGACATGTCTTTCAGGCATTTGATGCAGCAAATCAGTGTGCAGGTTGCTTTTTTTTACCAAGAAATCTGTGTAGTAGATCCCGAAAAACCAGTTATATGCCTAAATATAGTTATCAAAAGGCATTAAAAAGAGGTTTTGATTTACAAAACTTAACCTTTTCAGCTAAATTTAGTCCAGATGTAACAGACAGGTAGAAATCTTTCTGTTCAGCGCTGTTATCAGTTCCTCCAACAACATACCAAGACTTTGGGGAGAAAAATGAAAAGAAAAAGCCATAAACCTTTGCTACATGAAATAAATGTACTTCCTAAATCTACATTAGTATTGATAAATTATCATGTGCTACACTACTTTCTCATTGTTATATAATATGCCATATAACATTGATTATCATTTGCAGTCTGTCGTCTGCTTTTTTACACCATTTTATTTCTTTTTGTTTGTACTCATCTTACTTCTATTGTACTTTTTTTTTTTTGTTTTTTATTTTTTGCTATTAGGTTGCTTTGACTTTCTTTTTTCAACAAAAACATTTTCATTCACAGGAACACTTTATGTTTTTTTTTTCTTTTTGTTATCACTGTCATGTTACCATTAATGAAACATAATAGTTCAAATTAAAGCCTACCAGTAAAGGAATTATGTCCTTTGCACTGGGAGGCTTTTCATGTTGAACATCTGGAGGTGTTGAGTTTGTTGATGGTAACGTAACAGTGATTTTAAAAAAAAAAAAAAAAAAAAAAAAAAGTCAAAGAAGAAGCATTTGTTATTGATTAGGGAGCGAGAACAGGATTTCTTTTAAAATGAAGAATTTAAGAGCAGCAGTGGTGAGTACGACAAGTAAACATAGAGTTTTAAGTTTATACTAACAGCAAACATCATTGACAGCAACTGAAACCTGGAGCAAATCAGAAAACAATGTGACTGCTCACTAAAAGATGAAAAAAATATACAATTATGTATAAAACTGGAGAAATTAGAAATAAGGGCCTGTGTCTAATACTGTACTTACTAATACTAACACACATGCACATGCCACACACAGAAGAGCCACCCACTGAGCCGGCTGCCAGTGTGGTGTAATGCGGAAGTGTTTGGCAGATGTTGAGCAGAGGCTTATGTGTTATGTGAGGACACTCTGACTAACTGTCTAAAGATTCAGACACCAAAACTGCGGCTTTACATGCTGAAGTTACATCATTTCCTAAAATTACATTCATCTCTGGAAGCCTGCTCTGTTTGCCTATGAATACTATATTCATGTCAACATAAGTTTCGTAACCAACAAGCATTTACTGAAGCAATTCTGAAGCAGTCTTCTGTCTCAAATATGTTAACTGTCAATGCGCAAATATCGTACAGGATGGCAGAGAACAAAGTCTGTATTAGAGATTGGCCTCTTACTTATATTTCCCTGGTGTGTTTTTACAGAAACAATATCCCCAGCCAACATTTGTATGTGGGCCCATGTGGGTAGTACATGGGATTGTACACGGGCTGTCACCACAATGTGCGCCCAACTGCTGTGATGTAACTGTGATGACCACTCCAAATTGGTCTATTGGTCCCATACCAATTGCCCAGATGGGTGAGTTTACCCAAGTGGGCCCCAAATAAGATGCCTGTTTTGGGCCCATACCCACTTGGCACCCAGGTAGCCCCAGCATAGCCCATGTGGGGCCCACTTGGTTAATCCCACAGATGTAGGTGATTGGCCTGGGGCCAATATGGGACCCATGGACAATCCCATGTAGGGCCCATTTTTCAGCCCATTTACTACCCATATGGGCCCCACATACTCATGTGTCTAGGTTACTCTGTTAACCCATATGACAAGCTGTTAAAAGATTCTGTAGGAACTCTTCCTTGGGTTAGAAGAAATATGTAAAATGAGTGAACTAATCCTTTGCAAATTTAGGCATGTTTGTCAGCTGACATGCCCAGTGCATGAGCTAGAATAACCAAATCACCACAAATGCATTGGGTTTTATATAGTCAAGTTGCTGCTGTAATTGAGTCACTACTTGAATTTTGGGTTGAATTTAAAGTTTACGGATAGTTGCTTGTCCAGCACTGAAGTATTGCTTCTAGTGTAGCAAACATGTGGAGTCTTTGCCAGTTGTTGATGTAGCCAGTGTGTATGGATGGATGGATTTATTCAACAATCATTCTTTAACAAGAATTAAAAACCACTCTGTCTGCTGTTGCTCCAACATTCTTATAGCCCCAGGATACCTTAATCCTTTCACATGAAGTGTCTGTGAGAGTTAGCAGTATGAGGAGGCCTATGTGAGAGAGAAAGTCGTGCCTGAAAGAAATACATCCATTTAGAGCCGAGATGTCAATCACATCAATCGCTGGGGAGCAATGCTTGATTTTCATTCTACTGTTTTCAACATGGCAACCAGGTCATAAACTTTGTCATCATAGAGACTATCTGACTCTGATTGGTTGTTTTTGTGCACATGCGGTAGTTTCTTGCAAATGCCATTAGTAGCACTTGGAAGAGCCAGTGGATCAAATTTTGGGATTTTTTTTTTCATAGAGGATGTATTGTGTTCAGTATAACACTATCAGGATATAGTGATATTTAGCAAATAGGAAAAAAAAGTTATTTCTTATGTTACCAAATACAGCTTTAATGGCCTTCAGACACACTGGATTTATTACCTTCAGACGGAGCCAGGCTAGCTTCAACTGTTTCCAGTTGTTATGCTAAGCTAAGTTAACTCGCTGCTTGAGGTAGCTTCACAGACATTTGAGTAGTGTCAATCTTCTCATGTACCTCTAGGCATATTGCCCAAAGTATCAAACTTTTTCTTTAGATAGGATAACATGATCATATATCTCTGCCGTCTACTATCTAGGAATGGGAGTGTGGCCCAAAGACGTACCCTCAACTAGCCTTAGTTAGTTAGCAGTCATAAAATAAGTTAGCGTTAGCTAAGTGATGTGAGACTTTTAGGCTCTGATATGACTCTATGTTGGCTTTAAGATAGACATGGTTCTGCTCCACCTCCTTTGTTAACACACACTTGTCTTTATTACTGTGGAAGTACTGATATGCCCACAAGCTTTTCTTATGCTAGCTAAATTTGCTACTGTATGTTATCTGAGGCCTTTTTCTATGAGTACTGCAACACACTTTATATGGGGGTCAGTGGGACCTCCATCGCACGTCTTCAACTGGTACAGAACGCAGCTGCACGTCTTTTAACTGGCACAAGAAAGTTTGAGCATATTTCACCGATTTTAGCCTCACTCCACTGGCTACCCATCCATTTTAAAATTTATTTTAAAATTCTTTTATTTGCTTTTAAATCTCTAAATGGTCTTGCTCCAGCATACCTCTCTGAGCTTCTGCACCCCTACACACCCAGCCTCAGGAGCAGCTGGTCAGCTGACCTGAGGGTTCCCAAAACTAGGCTGAAGCTCAGAGGGGACTGAGCGTTTTCGGTTGCAGCTCCAAAATTGTGGATTGAACTGCCGCTGCACATTAGACAGGCCTCCTCACTGTCTAAGTTTAAAACTCTTCTTAAAACACACCTCTTTTCTTTGGCTTTTAACACCACGTAGGTTGTTGATTTTATGTAGTATTTTGTCTTTTTATTATGTTTTATTGTGTTTATTTTACTGTACAGCACTTTGGAAACCTTTGTGTTTATTTAAATTGTGCTTTATAAATAAAATAGATTGGATTGGATTGGATGAGTAAGGTAGATAAACTGCTGCCTCTGGGAGGCTAACTGTTTTTAAGGATCCTTGGCAAACATAAACTGTTTAAAATGTACGGGTGTATTATAGTGCAGAATCCTGCACGGGTCCAATTTTCAAGATCCGCCCTGACCCGACCCGGGGATGTACAAAACCGCACCCGAACTGCAAACCCGCGCACATCAGGCCAATTAGCACCGCAACCCGGTCTGACCCGTTGAAACACTACCCGCAGCCCGACCCGTAACCCAGATTTAAAGTAACAATTTCGGGTCATATTAGCTGAATATTGAACTGCATATCGCCACAGTTAAGGTGCCAGTAAGTAAACAACGACCTGAATGAAGCAGCTCTCACAATAAAAACCTGATTTCAGCTCCATCATCAATCCTCTGTGTTCTTCTCCTATATGAGTGTATATGCACTTGTTTTTTACGTTTAATGCTTTTAAACTTTTAATCTATGTAAAGGAACTTTACATGTGTAATAATAGACTTACTTTCTGTCCAGAGCGACGTTCAGCAGTTACGAGCCATCACGTGTTTTTAGAATCCATCGAGGAGAGAAGTAATCCATCAGGGAAACAGTTCAGAAACATTATAAAGTGATAGTTGTACGTTTTATCCACTTATTTCTCAAATACCTAAATAATTATTTACTGTTTTGGAAGCGGCGCTTGTTAGACGGTGGCAGCCATGTTGATTCTGTCGTCCAATCACAAATCGTGTTATTAGATGGTGAAACACATGTAAACAGCTGAACCAATGACCGTTGCGAAATAGCGGAGGCGATCCTCAGAGAGTAAATAATGACCAAGATAGTTATCTGTAGTTTACCGAACTAATGACTGATGTGTTTATCTAAAACCCGCGATCCGACCCGCATGTTATTTTTTCCACCCAGATCCGAACCCGGGAAAAAAATTGTTTTTAAAAACCACCTGCAAATCAGTTGTTTTTGCGGGTACCCGTGGGTACCCGACCCAGTGCAGGACTCTGTTATAGTGTCCACTGGGTGTATCAAGGCACTCATGGTTAGCTAACATCAGGTGAATGATGGTAAAACCGAAATAATAGAATACATATACTTATCAGCAGGTGTCTTTGACAGGTGTGTATTGTTCCTTACCAGTGTGTGTGTGTGTGTGTGTGTGTGTGTGTGTGTGTGTGTGTCTGTGTTTTGCCCCTCTAGGCGGTCTATATGTTCTATGCCCTGGCCATGGTGTGTGATGACTACTTTGTCCCCTCTCTAGAGAAGATATGTGAGGTAAGAAAACACTGTAAGTTATTACTGCACCTCACTGAGCTGACATCACTTCTAAAGATGAGTGTGCTTTCTTTCTTTCTTTCTTTCTTTCTTTCTTTCTTGTTTTTCTTTCTCTCTCTCTCTCTCTCTCTCTCACTCTCACTCTCAGCGTCTTCACCTGAGTGAAGATGTTGCAGGAGCAACCTTTATGGCAGCAGGCAGTTCAGCTCCTGAACTATTCACCTCTGTCATTGGTGAGAAGCACACACACACACACACACACACACACACACACATTTGCATTCCCATATTCATACATCCTTTGAGGGAACAGCCTCAAAACAAGTTAAAAGTACATTTTCTGAGATAAGACTGCATTAATATCACATTATTTCATCATATTTAACTTAGGCTAAATGAAGACAATGAAACAATGCCTAGAGGAGAGTTGCTTAAAAATACTCCAGAGTAACTGGCTCATATCTTACAGTATATGGCAGTAAGAATGAGTCAAAACTAAACCCTTTATATAAAAAGGCTCAACAGAAGGACCTATTTTAGATTCCTTTCCATCATACTATATAAAATCATAACAAGATTGTTTGCTGTATCATTATATATTAAGGCCCACAGTGACTCGTCAGTAGCAGCATAGTTTCAAGACTGCTGTTTATGTAATAGTTAACATCATTAAAGCTGTGTCAGTGTGTGTTTCATTCAGGGGTCAGCCATCATCAGGAGTGAATAAATTACATTTAAAGGTTAATGGAAAATCTATCAAAAGGCTTACTTAAGTAAAATATCTTAGCTTTATTTTAGACCACCGTCTAAAATTGGTAAAATGGGTTAAAAGGAGAGAAAGGGTCAGAGTATGATGTTACGCTGCAAATGTCTTGTGCGTTTCATGATTTTGTCACATTGAAGTTGCTGTACCACTTCATGATGAAGCTGCCCCCAGAACAGAAATGATGGTATCATGATTAAATTCACTTGCTTGATGTCCATGAACAAAGGACTGTACGTTGAACCACAGAACTCAGACTGAATTACCAGAGTCTTTTTATTGTAGGTGAAGCAGTATTTGAAGAGTGATTAGGTTAGCAGCTTGCATGATACTTTTGTTAAAATAATTTGTATTTTCTGTTTATTGTTGGTATTTTGTATATTTTCATATCCAGATAATTGTGTTTTTTTGCCATAGATTTTTTTTTCACACAATTCCATTCAAAGATAAGAGTGCAAATAGGCTTGTTGCAAACTTTAAGGCTTGTGACCCCTTAAATAAAAATGTCTAGTCATGGCCTCTCATCACAGGCATGAGAGTTCAACAGTCATTTGTTAGTTTTCTTATCAAGGATTTTCAAAGGATTTTATTCTTATTGTGCCTCTGCACCAGTGTTAGCTGTCAAACCTCATGCTTTCACTTTGTCCGTACCCAGTCCCAGTCTTGTGAACACCATATCTTAAGAACACCCTGGGGGAATTTCATCAAATTTGGCCCAAATGACCACTTGGACTCAACAACAAATTGAACAGAATTTAGTGATTGTAGGTCAAAGGTCAAGGTCAATGTGACCACATCTGTCTTAATTCTTTTGAACATGATATTTCAAGAACGCCTCAAGGGAAATTTTACAGATTTGGCACAAATGTTCACTTGAATTCAGTGATTAACTGATTAGGTTTTGGTGGCAAAGGTCAAAGAGCAAGGGCACTTAAACCTCCTCTGTCTTAATTCTTGAGAATATCTCAAGAACAGCTTTAAGGATTTTTTAAAAATTTGTCACAAACATTCACTTAAATTCAACAACGAACTGATTAGATTTTGGTGGTCAGAGGTCAAGGTCACTGTGACCTCACAAAACATGTTTTTGGCCATAATTCAAGAATTCATACAGTATCTTTGACAAAATTTCACACAATAAAATGATGAAGTGATTTTACATCCAAAAGGTCAAAAGCTGACCTCACTGTGACGTCATCATTTTCTGCAAGAACATCTTTCTGGCCGTTATTCAGTGTCATATTTTGGTAACAGAAAGGGAGACATTTGGTCAGATACTGAATTGGTGAAATTAATCTTGGGTGTCCACTTTGAAACTGTGCTGACTGTATAGATCTTCTGTGCTGCACGGGGGAAGATGTGTGAAGCATTCATAGTTTTCACAAAGATGGATGTAAACTGTAAGTGCAACTCGACTGGTGCACTGAGGCATACAACACCGGGGGGGTAATTCTAGTTTAAATATAACTATAAAAACTGTTAATATAACCAATCTTTAATTTAAAATTATTGTTATTGTAGTATGAACTCAATTATTATCCAGTTACCATTAGCAGGGCTAACATAGCAATCGCAGAACTAAGGCATTGTGGATCAGCTGGCTCTTTGACTACAATCACAACACAGAATCACGTCAACATCACCAAAAACACAAAACCAGAAGATTAATCCACAAAATGTGAATAGCTTGTCACGTGTGGTTATCGGTGTTTGTGTATCTGCTGCACAGGAGTTTTCATCACCAAAGGTGATGTTGGGGTCGGCACCATTGTGGGCTCAGCCGTCTTCAACATCCTCTGCATTATCGGAGTGTGTGGGATATTTGCCGTACAGGTACACTGCGAAACACACATACACCTATCAATAATGTTTTTCTGTTATTTTTCCCTCCAATAGTCACGCAAGCCTGTAGCAGGCATTTTAAACACTGCACTATTAAGTCTGCATGAGCTGATCTGTTTGTGCCAAGCCTCTGGCACTGTTTGTTCTTAAAGAATTATATTTATATTACATTTTCTGCAGTATGCCTAAGCTGATACAGTTAACAAAAATGAACACTTCACATTAAAAACCTTGGATGGAAACTATGCTTTCTTTCTCCCGTTATAACTTAATTTATTTTGCAGCAAAAGTGTGTGTCAGAAAAATGATACGTGTCCCGTTCACTGCTGTAATCCCACGAGGAAAAGAGAAACACACTTGAAAGAATTGTTTTCCTATTTAGATTACATGTTATGTAAGACCAAAACACACACACACACACAGAGCTTGGTTCATCTTGTTAGTACTGCACAGCAGTGAGTACCTTGTGGGATGTGTTACTCAACAGAACAAAAAATGTAGTTCAGTGTCGGCAAGTTTTTGCATCGTCTCACTTCTTCTCCCTGTCTGTCTGTCTGTCTGTCTGTCTCTACCAGACAATCCGTCTCACCCGCTGGCCTCTGCTCAGAGACTCTGTGTACTACACCATTTCTATCTCTGCTCTAATAGTGGTAAGAAACAGATAAACACAGTCATATAAACATTACAAACAAAAGGATACACCCTGGAGTGTATTGGGTGGTAAGATATAAATAGCTTTTATCATATTGTTGATTGTCCACATGTAATTATGCCTTTATGTATTGTGTGATTTCAGCAGATTTTTGAATAACATATTCAAATCTGCAATTTTTACATCTCATTTTCCTCTCTCTTATTACAGTTCATATATGACGAAAAAGTGGTTTGGTGAGTCTGATTTTGTTGATTGTTTAAAATGAACCACAAGGATTAATGAGAAGATGACAGCATTAAATTACAGTTTACTAAATAACTGACATGGTGAATTGACCTAACTGTGTTTTCCAGGTGGGAAGCTCTTACATTGATTCTGATGTATTTCGTCTACATTTTGATCATGAAGTAAGTATTAAAACTTTAAAAATTAGAGATAAATATTGAAACACAATAAAGTGGCGCTGGATTTTAGGTGGTGTGAAGTTGGTCAAGCAAGAGCCCAAGAGCAGCTCAAAAAAAACCAAAAAGCCGAATACAAATGAAAGTATTTTGTGATAGAAATTTCAAGTCATGGGGCAATATCCCATCCAGTTAATTGTACATAAATGTTAGATGTGATTGAGACTTAATGTGACCTTTGTTTCAGGATGAACTCCCATGTCGTTCGTTTTCTGGAGAGGCGTAAGAAGAACTCATCCAGTTTGAGGAATGGAGCGGCTAATAACGGCGAGCTAGATGATGGCTGTGATGCTACCTCTGTTCTACTGAAGAAAGGTACACTTTCTGTTTAACAAGGGTTCAACAGCTGGGCACAGTACTGGGTAGATGGATAAACTCATGTTTACCAGGAAAAAGTTTCAATACAACTCCATCTTAAATCAGAAAAGGTTTGCATGTTGTATATTTCTTTTTGTTTACCACTTAAACAAAAGAAAGATGCTAAAGAGCTTGTGACAGAGCATGGCTAGCTGCTTCTCTTCTTTGGATATTGAAGGCCTCACTGCTCCATCTCCATTCTTGGCACTGAAGACAACAGTTGTGTTTACATGGACCCTAATATTCCACTAACAATCACAATAATAGCCCAGTCAGAATAAAAATGTTTCAAGTAATCACCTCAATCAGAGGAGACGCAGCCCGATCAGAGGGAATTTCCAATCAGGTTGAGAGGGGTGGTGTAAACATTTGAAAATCTGATAGGAAAATATTAGTGCCTGATGACAATGCTTAATCTGATAGTTTCTCTCTGGTTGGAATAAATAGATTCTTTTCATGCATGTTTGCCCCACCTGGGGGCAACATTAGGTCATGCAGGGGGTGCATTCCAGGCCCTCAGGAAAGCAGCTCAGCCTTGCTTACAATTTTTTCCCAGTCCTCACTTACAGTATTTAAGCTAAAAAAATCCCCATAACATTTTCTCCATAGACCACCATTGTAAAAGACACATCTGTAAAACTGTTGACAGGACATCTCAAACGGCAAACAATGTCAATTATGAATTATGAATCCTTCTATTATGATTTTTTTGATCTATGGTGGTTTGCGGGAGCTCACAGGTGGAGCCTCTGCTGTGCATATTCAGTTCAAGAAATTCAAAAAATATTTAGTGCTCTGCTAGTACTACATTCTTAGTGCTCTGATTAGTAAGTGTATTCTTTGTTGTTACAGGCTGAACTGTTGAGTTGAAGGTTATAACGATCATCTATGACTACCAGTAGCAGTAATCAAAGTGTTGAACTTTTCTTTAAGCGTCATTTCTTGACTGCAGAGTTGTATGATCAGATGTAAGGCACTGTAGCAGCCTGTGTGGAACCATTTCTATGGTTACAAACATTGTGAGAATGTATTCAGGCAACTTAGTTATGTGGGATCTGAGTGTCTGCTACTGAACTACACTTACCGGCCACTTTATTAGGTACACCTTGCTAGTACCGGGTTGGACCCCCTTTTGCCTTCACAACTGCCTTATTTCTTCATGGTATACATTCAAAAAGGTGCTGGAAACATTCCTCATAGATTATGGTGCACATTGACATGATAGCATCACGTAGTTGCTGCAGATTTGTCAGCTGCACATCCATGATGCGAATCTTCCATTCCAAATTTACGCCAAATTCTGACCCTACCATCTGAATGTCGCAGCAGAAATCAAGACTCATCAGATCTGGCATTGTTTTTCCAATCTTCTATTATCCAGTTTTGGTGACGCCCTGTGAAATGTAGCCTCAGTCTCCTGTTCTTAGCTTACAGGAGTGGCACCCTTTGTGGTCTTCTACTGCTGTAGCCCATCTGCTTCAAAATTTAACACGTTTTTCATTCAGAGCTGGTCTTCTGCATACCGTGGTTGTAACGAGTGGTTATTTGAGTAACTGTTGCCTCTCTGTCATCTTGAACCAGTCTGGCCATTCTCCTCTGGCATCAGGCATCAACAAGGCATTTTCACCCAGAGAACTGCCGCTCACTGGATATTTTCTCTTTTTCAGACCATCCTCTGTAAACCCTAGAGATGGTTTTTCATGAAAATCCCAGTAGATCAGCAGTTTCTGAAATACTCAGACCAGCCAGTCTGGCATCAACAACCATGCCACCTTCAAAGTCACTTTAATCACCTTTCTTCCCCATTTTGATGCTCAGTTTGATCTTCAGCAGGTCGTCTTGACCATGTCTACATAGATAAATGCATTGAGTTGCTGCCAAGATTGGCTGATTAGATATTTGCGGTAATGAGCAGTTGAACAGGCATGGCCCCAAGAATCTAATATCAGTCAGGCTCTTGGCTTGACTGGTGGCTGTTGCAGCTCAGTCACCAGAGGAAAATGTTGTATGTTTCTGTTCTGCAAACCTTTACATTTTCACCTTATGTATCATATCAGTGTTTCCAAAGTTGGGTAGTAAATAGGCTGACTGTCATCTGTAGATGGAGGGGATGGTAGCTTCTTGTGGCTGTTTTTTGTTGTTTTTAACCTCTGTGAGGCACTTTGTGTTACTGTTGTATGAAAAGTGCCATATAAATAAAGTTGATTTGATTTGATTTGATTTAGATGGTGGACCATGGTTTGAGACCAACAAACAATAAAACTGGTTTTGTTTTAGTGAGTCAATGCTGTTTTTCAAGTGGCTTTTAAACCACCAAATGTAGGTGACGTTTAGGGACTTAATGCTGTTTTTTCCAGCAGGGATAGTGCCATGAAAAGCAGATTGTGACATTGCTGTTTCCTGCCGAGATAGTGCCTCTAAAAGGGGCTGTTTGTTTACAGAGACCTTGGGGACTGTGTCCGAAAACCGTGTATTTTAAGCCAAAACATGATCTTTTCCTAACCATAAAGGAGCTGTTCTGTACCTTAACTTAACTACATGCTGACCCCAATGTTGTGTGAATGTAGAGATTAGTTTTGGTTGTCAAAGACTTATAGATTGCGCCTTCAAAGAATAAATGCTGTGTTGTGCTTTAATTCATAGTTTGGAGTAGTTTCCAATATTGAAAAGCCATAGCCATGACAAAAAATATCAAAATGTCCACTGAAACTTCTCACACCACTCTTGCAACATTATCCACTTCTCCGCAGTTCTGTTTTTTATGATCCACTCATTTTCACCAGAATAAAGCTAAATACAGTGTTTCTTTATGATCAAGAGCAGGTGTGTGCGTGGTATACAGGAGTCCCGCTCTTCTATTGATCAGAACAACTCCATCCTAGCATGCTCACTCACGGATGGAGTGTTTCACACCCAACAGATGGAGTATGACTTTCATGGTGCTTCTGAACAGCCAAATTCTTACAACTTCAGTGTGGAACATGCTTCTCAGGGTAGGTGAACATGGACGGGGGTTGTTCAAATATGTTCTTGTGGCTGTTTCTTTTATACTTGTAATGTTTATAGTAGGATGAAGGTCTTTTTTGGCCCAGGTCCTAATGGGAGTCCTTTTATACTGTCCAAACTGGTACCTACATTTACCTAAATGTTGATTAAATATGTATCTAACAAAGTGAAATAACATGTAGCCTTCTAAATTCAGCACACCTGGTTCAAAGCTATTACATTTCTAAGCATAATAATTGATATGATATGATGAAAGTTTAACTGAAAATGTGATTCCTGAAAGGGATGTGAAATGATAGAGAGAAGATGTAACATTTTCTTGAAGTTGTCAGGTTGTACAGCAGTGTTTAAAAGTGANAAACCATTTCAGGTGACTACCTCTTGAAGCTCATGGAGAGAATGCCAAGAGTGTGCAAAGCAGTAATCAGAGCAAAGGGTGGCTATTTTGAAGAAACTAGAATATAAAACATGTTTTCAGTTATTTCACCTTTTTTTGTTAAGTACATAACTCCACATGTGTTCATTCATAGTTTTGATGCCTTCAGTGAGAATCTACAATGTAAATAGTCATGAAAATAAAGAAAACGCATTGAATGAGAAGGTGTGTCCAAACTTTTGGCCTGTACTGTATGTTCTCTTGCGGTCACAGGTGCATGTGTGTATTTCTGTGATTACATGCATGTGTGTGTGTTTCCTACAGCGAACCACCACAGGAAGACATCGGTGTTGATGGTGGACGAGCTTCTGTCGGCGTACCCCCACCAGCTGTCCTTCTCCGAGGCCGGCATGAGGATCATGATCACCAGCCACTTCTCCCCGCGAACCCGCCTTACCATGGCTTCACGAATGCTCATCACTGAGGTCAGGATACACACAGGCCAGGCGCACTACAGCTGTGCTTTTGATTGAAAAAAAGAGAGGAAAAAAAAAAGATTGCTGCCATTTCCAATTTAAAGCAGACTGCAGTGTGTTTTCCTCAGAGGGAGTAGTGTTTCAGACAGCCTCTTTAACAAGGTAATCTGGTGCTGCACAGAGGGTCCAGCCGACAAATCAGTTCCACCAATGAACGTCCTGGGCATTACGTTTTTTAGCACATTTCTCAAGGATAAAGCAGGACATGATGTAGAAACCTGGTCAAAAAATGACAACATGTCATCCCAAGCCTCAGTCTCCTTTTTGTCCACGTCATATTCAATAGTGTTTTTTTTTCAACAGCCTTCATACATTTATGCTCTACTGATCACAGGCTGGTTGAGTTTTGAGAAAAACTGCCCTAAAAGGAAAAAAATATATTTTTTTGGTTTTATAATGACACCCTGTCTGTGCTTACACCACCCAGAATGCTCTTTATTCTCCATCTAAGTTACGAACAGCTGCATACTTGACCAGTTAGTGAAATAATCCCATCTGCTGGTGCCTGTGGATATTCTCATTCATCCAGGTCATAGTTATCTCAAGGCAATTATATCGAACGCAACTGGACTTGGTTTTGTCTTAGAAGACGTTTCACCTCTTATCCAAGAGGCTTCATCAGTTCATGCTTGTCTGACTAGGCTGGAACTAGTCTGACAAACTGGTGTGGAAGCACCCGGGTATTTAACCTCTGGGGAGGTCTTCACAAGGCCAATGATGTCACTGGTTCGTTAGTGCTCCAATGGTGTGTCAGCGACAGTCGTTGAAACTCCTGCTGCAACGGTTGTCACTGGAGTCGTTAGAGTCACATGAGGCCATTTGTGAACGACCGTTGTTTTTAGAGGTTAAGTTGTTAAGCCTCCTGGGCAAGGATGAAAGGACAGCATTATATCTGGTGTTTTGATACCGAATGATGACACAGTTGACAGCTCTGCTTCATAGCTGCTCAAGCTAACCTTCAAAGTTCATGATGTGACATTCAAAGCATTAATGTAGCAGCAAACCACTATTTGCTATGTAAAGATATAGTTGAGTAATGGTGTGCTGAGCAGAGAATGAAATCACTCTCCCTCTCTGTGTGTTGTAATGCGAGCTTCTCTATGGTTTGTTTGTTGTTGTTGCACTGCAGCCATGTTACTGTAGCATAGCACCCACCCTCACAATAAAAAAAACACACACTCTTAAATACAAATTTAATATAAAAAAAATAAAGTGCTCAATTTTAGTTTCAAACATGACAAAGAGTCGCACACTCTGAGCTGCAACCCACATTAGCTAAGTAGCCAGTCAACTATATGACATTGAACCCCTCACCTGCACATGTCAACAAAGAGATGACTTGTGCTTTCAGTTTGATTTGAATTGTTTTAATTGTCTGACTGGAAAAGAGGAAAGAAATTCCCAGTAAATATTGATATGTCATCTGGTTCTCAATTTAATCTTGATGAATGAAGCTGCTGTATGAAATAAATTCAGCATTTAAAGTAGGTTTTCTCTCAGTATGTTTATATAACTATGTGTGTGTGTGTGTGTGTGTGTGTGCATGATACAGAGGCAGCGTCTGATCAACACACGGACTCTTACCAATGGTGACTCGGATGTTCCAGTGAAAGGAGGAAGTAGGCGGGGCATAGAGAATGGGCTGTCTGGGGCTGAAAGGGGTGTTAGTGTTCGCCATGACGACCGAGAGGCGGGCAATGAGACGGAGAACGAGGACAACGAGAACAACGAGAACGATGAAGAGGAAGAAGAAGAAGATGGAGATGGACCCTTAGTGCCCTTCCAGTGCCCAGGTACCTGCTGTAGATGAATCTGTGTGGAATGTGTTTTACACACTGTTATAGAAAAGGATTTATTTTTGAAGACAAACAAAAGTTTTTTATTTTTTTTTTGGAAATGGTGTGAGCAATTTCACGTAGGAACTTTTTTCTTTCTACCAAATTACATCAGCCAACTGTATCACTGCATAAGATGCGTGCATTTACTCATGGACGAGAGGCTGGTGACAGCGTGAGATGTAAACATTAATGGCATCGTCCTCTGCTGAGCTGTAACATAAGCTACCTCAGTGATGCTAGGTGAGCTAGCAGTAGATGCATGCTTCCTTCTGGGCGCTCATATGGTTGGTGGGTGTAGTTCAGTAGAAAGAAAATAGTCCCTTTATGAAACTGCTCACAACAAGGTCTGTAGTCGGTGGTGTAGTATGCTGTAGGTGTTTCGTCTTAAAGCACAGGCACAGCTTAAAACAGTTCCCCCCCCCAAAAAAAAAAAAAAAAAACATTTTTCCCCCATCCTGTCTAGACTGTTTTAGTGTGAGTTGCAGACTATTGGAGATATTACCTGTAGAGATGTCTGCCTTTTCTCAAATATAATGGAACTAGGTGGTTGGCTTGTGGTGCTCATAGCGCTAAAAAAGGTACATTTGAAAAACTCAACAGCAATCTCTCATTCCAGAAATCATGACCTGGTTATTTAAGACAATCCATGGACCCTGTTGTGAGCAGTTTGATATAGGAACTATTGTGTTTCTACTTAACTACACCCACCAACCGCATCACCACGCAGAAGAAAACGTGCATCTTGGTTTGATACTGCTAGCTCAGCTGAGCTAGCTCAGCTGAGCTAGCTAACGTTACAGCTCAGCTGAGGATGAAACCATCAGTGTTTACATATCGCACTGTCACAAGCACAAGCCTCTTGTCCATGAATAGATGCACTCTTCCTTCAGCACACTGATCCGGTAGGTGGGTGTAGTTTGGTAAAAAGAAAATAGTTCCTACATGAATCTGCTCACAACAAGGTCTGTGGATTAGCTTGAGTAACCACGTCATGGTTTCTGGAAAGACACATTGCTGCTGAGTTTTTCTAATGTATTTTTGGCGCTTTGAGCACCACAAGCTGAGTGTCATCTAGTTCCATTATATTGGAGAGAAGGCAGACATCTCTACAGCTGATATCTCAACACTCAGCAACTCACACCACAACTATCTAGACTGATAAACAGCACTACAGGGGTCCGTTTCACAAAACAGGTTCAACAAACTCTGAGTCAAATCCTGAACTCTTAGTTGATCTACTTTGAGATAGGAAACTCTGAGTTTCCGGTTCCAGAACAGCTGATTTGAATCAGTTTAATCAACTCGGAGTAGTTTCACCTGGAGTCAAGCGCGTGCACCACAACTATAAAAAGCCAGCATCAATGGAGCCCCGATTCGACGAGTCACCATGGCAACGGGGGGGGGGAGGGCTGCGTTTTTCACCCCACTAGAATTAGAAATCTTAATGCGCTCATACGGCGAGTTTGCACACGTTTTCAAAAAGAAGTGCAACACCGCTGCAGCTGCAAAAGAGAGGGAGACGGCGTGGGAGAATGCATAAGTTTAAATGTAGTCCTTTGCAATCACAACAATATTACAGGGGAAAAGTGCTTGAATGGTAGCCTATTAATTTATTTCATTTAAGTGCAATCCCTCACTTGGCAGCAGTTTAGGATGAAATATAAAAACATTGTTCAAACAGGTAAGGCTCAGCATAATCTCATGGGGGTACCTCATTTTGATCATGTTTTACACTGTAAAGTAAATATTAAGTGGCTGTTTGACTGTGCAGTTGTTTTATCCCCAACATAATGCTGTTTTCACACACATAAATGTCTTCTCATCTATATCATGTTCTGTGAAATAATTAAGCCTATTTAAACTAACACAGACTTCTACTCAGCCAACAGAAAGAAGGCAGATGCCCATAAAACGAGCACACTTTTCTGACCGCCCTGCATACAGTTGCCTTATTCAAGCGCTCAGCATCTCCGACATTGTACAAAAAACTTCCATTTGCAAAGAAACACAGCGCATTTTTATACAGTCTATGAGCGCAACGCACAATATCTGCTGGGATGTGAGAGCATGACTACGATTGGTAATGTTGCAAATGTAAGGACGGATTAGGTTGAGTATGTAGATGATGGACTGTGACGTGAAACGGTACCGCTCAAAAAGATAATTGTGTGGAAATGCTAAAACATCTATGCGCGGTCTGATAACCATCTCCTGACGAATATTTAATTCTCTGCGCAGTCTTCATCCACGGGATCGTTATCAAAAGGACATGTCATGTTAGTGAAAAAAGTCGCCACCTACTGTGCCTATTGGACTTCTAATACTGACTCTGATTTTTTAAATGATTTTTTTTAATGACAGACGGCAGAACTAGGCTACGCCAAAACTCACCTGCTGACTGAATGAATGAGGAAATCAAATGGAGTGTGTGGCTCTGAAAGAGGGCGGAGACAGAGAGAAACTCGAGGTTCATTGAGAAAAACCTGGTCCCGACCAGGTTAGGTTCACAGAGTCTGTTACTACGGTAACTGACCGAGAGCTTAAGTTACCTCTCTTTCTGAAACAGGCTAGAGTTACTCCTCTTTCTCTGGTTTGAGTTACCTCCCTTTTTGAAACAGAAAACTCAGAGTTTCCCTCATTTCAGGGTTAACAGACTCTGAGTTTTCACTAAACCTGCTTTGTGAAACGGACCCCTGGTGAGAGAAAAAAAAGTGTTTTTTCGATTTTGGGGTGAGCTGTCCCTTTAAACAAAAGAGAAGTGTTAATTAGCTGGCTTTAGAAGTGGTGGCAGGCATATTTATGAATGTCAGGCTAGCTAATTCCCCTGCTTTTAGTCTTAATGCTAAGCTAATCATGTCCCAACTCCACAGATGTGAGATTAAGAAAATAAGCAAGAATAAGCCGATTTCCAAAAATGTTTAACTGTTCCTTTGATATATGAGCTTTGCAGTTTGGATTTGTAGCAGTGAACATTTGGTACAAACAATTCTGTTTTCAGAATTAGTAGTAGTTGTAATGTTTTTAGTACATCAGGAGAAAGATTTTTCCCATAATGCAGTCACAGGTTGTTGAATGTTGGTTTGAGGTTGTTGACAGTCATGCACAAAATATGTATCCCAGTTAGCTTTTATTTTATTTTTGACATGCTTCAGTTTCCACTTAAACAGCAGACTCTGTGGTGTCGTACTCCATCAGTTTTTCTTACATCAGTGCAGTGCTCAGACAAAATCTTTCAAAAATGCTAAAGGCTTTTCATAACTGAAAATAATCACAATGAAGAGGATGATACACAAAAATGTAATCCCAAAAAGTTGATGAAAGGTTAAAGTGAACTGATAAATCTGCTGTTATTTTTCGTCTTATTTAGATAAAGACATGAATCATGTGATTAAAACACAGATTAACAAAAGCACAACCATGACGCTGTTTGCTGGGTATCTTTAAGATTTATCACTGGTGTGAGCATCTAATGTTTATCATCTGCAAGAGTAATTCTTATCTAATTAAGCGCGTTTGGATCAGACGTCTTTATCAAAACAAGTCGAATTTGAAAAGAGTTTATCAAGCTTTATCAAATTTATTCATTTTTATCCATTTTTATATTAACTGATCATAAACATTCTTACATGCATAAATCTTGTATATTAGATACTGCAACAAAGTGCAAATTGTCTGTCCCCACATTTCAAAGCTATATAGTAAAAAATAAACTTGCATAAATCTTATTTAAATTGAAATTTATTTGAAACTGTGACAACTAATTACTCTTTAAAAAAAACCCTCAAACATTGGTTAAAAACAAATCAGACATATACCCATACCTAAATACTGTTTCATAATCTGATGCCTGTTCCCAGGGGCTTTTGGTTCATTGATCTTTTTAACTCTTTAATTGTGGGCTAAAAATGTTTTGTTATAATAATGTTAGTCTTGATATTGTCTGCCTGTGTCTTGTTTGTTAATCTCTCAAGACAGATTCTGCAATTTACATTGTAGAATCTGTCGGCAGCCCTGTGTGAAAGATGAGAGGGGGGAGGGCGTGGCTTTGAGTTTGAACGATGCTGCGCTTTAGCCAATCACAATGGGGGGGGGGGGGGGGGGGGTGGCCGAGATGTGCAGGTGTCCCCAGGAAATGTGTATCTACAGAAACAGCAAGCTCCGCGTTCATAGTGACCGCTCCACCCAAAACGCTGTCTCGTCAACGTGAAAAAAAAAAAAAATTTCCAGCGGATGTCTGAGTTACAACATGGTTGAGCTAACTGGAGTAGTTTCATGTCGCATCCAACAACGGGAGGCTTTTAGCAGATGACGTCCTGATGTTAGCTTTGACGTCCTGATGTTAGCTAACTGAGTAAAATACCACACATAGCAACACAAAACTGCTTTGCTAGCTCAATCATGATGTAACTAAGATATCCGCTGGAAAAAATATTTTATTCACGGACTGTTTATTGAGTTATTACCTTATTTTTATACAGTCTATGGTTATTACAGACACCTCTAACGGCTAACGTTAACAGCTACTGGTTAGCCCAGCTAATCTACGATGTTATTATTATTATTATTATTTATAAAACGTGCACACAGAAATAGTAACGTTTGTTCAGTCATTGTGTTTATAGACTTTACAAACATCAGATTAGTCTACACGGTGATATAGTGACGTGAAAAATGTGATATATAGCTAAACTCTGCTGGTTTTTTACCCAAAGTATTTGTAAACAACACGGCGATTCCCTGGGGGCACCGCCGGAAGTGAAGGGCGTGAGGCCCCTGCACTTCCGTTAGTTGAAAAACTCCGGGCTGTGCCTCCAGAGGTAAAGGAAGAAAAAAAAAAGTTTTTTTTTTTGTTTTTTTTTTACCGATGGATTTCCAGATTGCTTGTTTGTTGATATTGTCTGCCTGTGTTGTGTTTGTTTTGATATTGTCTGCCTGTGTTTTGTTTTGTAATTGTTTATTGTATGATTTGTAGTTGTGAGATTTTAAAGTCTTACTGTGTCTGTGTTGTGTAGGTACCTGCCTTGGGACTATGGATGAAATTTAGCAACTGTGCTAAGTCTGGCGCATTTACATTGATACTCAATGCAGTAATGTTGATTAATGTGCATTGTCCCAACTCAATAAATAAATAAATGAAATGAAAATGAAAACCGAAATAGGACAACCAACTGTTGTGGGTGGATATTATAGACTGTATACAAGAATGGATGTAGCCACCATGGCGTCACTCACTAGTACTGTATGTGGACTCCCATTTTGAATTCAGAAGTCTTGGAAAGCTGCTTACCCTTGCAGCAAACTTTTCCCAGTGGCCACTAGCAGTAGTGCAGCGAAAAAATCCCCTATGGCCAGAAAGCATTTTCCTCATAAACCACCACACTTAAAGAGTCTGTCAAACTGTTGACAGGACACCTCCAATTGCAAACAATATCAATTATGACTCTTTCTATTATGAATTTTTAATCCATGGTGGTTTCATATTTGTAAAACATTCATGGAGCCAAAAAGAGCAATTTAAAAAACTGTGATGTCATCACAATGTAAAGTCTATGAGCTGAGCGAGAATTTGCAGGAAGGGCCATTGGGTGAAATTCTACTGTGTATATTCAGTGGGCCATATACCGTGGAAGTAAACCTGGAAGCTAGTCAACTTATTTGGTTTATGTACCAGGCTAGCAACTACACTGGAATGAGTAGGCGCCATTGTGGCATCTAGTATTGTTATAATCTATAGATTCTGGACTTCGCCATCTTGGATATTTGGAGCTAGGAGTGATTTGGATGAAAGGGTGGAGCTAACCCCTATGCTAGCTGCTAGCGTCTTGGGGTTAGCTCTACCCAAGCTGCTAGCTTGGTTAGCACAGTGAATTTACAGCTATGGATAACTGTGATAAAGCTAATTTTAGATTTTTGCTGGTAAAGAACAGGCTTAAAACCATTAAACCCAAGTGTATTTACTGGAAAAATTGGGTATCTGACTCCTTAGAGAATATTCTAGTGCAACCAAACACTGAACAAGGCTTTTTTTTAAGGCAACCAAATTGTTCCCATGAACTTTCATGAACTGAAAACAGGTGAGTGAGTTTGATCAAAATTCACCCCCTGTACAGTTGTAATAAATGGGAAAATTAGCTAGGGAGACCAAAATTGTTGTTTTTTTTTGTCTAAGTCTATTTCTGCTGTTAAGTTGGACATTTAAACATGGGGGTCTTTCGGGACTGACTTGCTTCTGGAGCCAGCATCAAGTGGACATTAGAGGACCTGCAGTTTTTGGCACTTTCAATTTTTAGCGCTGGAGTTTGCTGCATCAATGTTTACCGACAGATTTAGAGGTCTCATATAGTATGAGGGGGCATAAGAATCTGTCTTTGTACCCTTCCTCCCTCTTGAGACAGTCCATGTATGTATGTCTTGACATTGTATGTTTACATTTTTTTTTCAGCGGGTATGTGCAACAAACTGAAGTGGCTACTGGCCTGGCCTCTGTGCCTGCTGCTGTACTTCACCGTCCCCAACTGCTCCACGCCTCGCTGGGACAACTACTTCATGCTATCCTTTGTCTGCTCTACCCTGTGGATCGCCGGCTTCTCCTACATCATGGTCTGGATGGTGAGAGACTGGGAGGAAAAGATGGGAAGGGAAACTGGCAGTTATGTAAAAAAAATATATATTTTTCTCAGTGACATGCTATTCTGTCGTAGGCTGTGTGATTTTTTTTAAATTTACATTTGTGGTAAATCTTTTGTGTCTCATGTAGCAATTTAGCAGCTAAAGAGCCAGGTATTTTCATCAGACAGTGCGACCCACTGGCGGTGGACTAACAGGAAACAGCTGATAGCAGGAATGAGCAGCCAGTAGAAAGAGGGAAACGCAAACCTGACAGACACTGTAAAGATGAGCAACTGGGGAGACAAGGAATTGCGTACCCTCCTTGCCCTCGCAAACTAAGAAGCCATTAACCATCAGATGACAGGAACGGTGAAGAACGGGCCGACTTATGAGAGAATGACTGACCAGCCGCGGCTTCCCTCCCACGTCACTGTTTACGTCACACACACTGAGCTACACATTGAGTTACTTGCTCACGCCCCCCATTGCCCCAAAAAAGGCACATTCTGTATAAACAAAAGTAGGTAGGCGGCATTTTGCTGCACTCCCTGATTTTGTATTTATACTGCCAATGCTGAAAAAAGACTGATTGGGCTTTCCTGCAAATTTGCACAACTCCTATCTAATAAGGGCTCTTGTTTCTGCCTCTTTTCTGGTCAAGCATTATGGATCTTGCCTTAGGAGTTGGAAATAAAAGTTCTGACAGCATTTTGGGTGCAGGTGGCTCATCTTGCTACACAGCATGGAGACCTGCTCACAGAAAAAGCAAGCTTCCATCAATCAGAAAGGCAAAATCTCAATAGATGATGAGGTTGATAACACATGACTGTGTGGCAGAATAGGTTCTGTTTGTTTAACCCACATTCAAAAGAGAAAGGGAGGTTAATGTTGGGTAAATTTGGGTAAAATACAGATCTCACTTATCCCCTTGTGAATACGCCACACTAAACACAGACGTGGGGGGGGCGGGGTAATTTTTCAAATCAAATGAGGTCCCCTGATAATACAAGTCTTGTGTGAATAGGGCCTTATTTACAGATTCAGCACACAGAGACAGAGCAACATTTGGAGTCATGTCTCTCGATAACATAAATTTAAAGGTTTCCTGCAGGGGTTCTCACCTGTTGTAGCGATATGGGGCAGTTATTCTATAAGTAGGTCCACGTTTTATATCGCACATGAATTGCACATGCACATGGATGACACTATACACAGTCCTATCAAAGGTGTCACCATATTCCATCAATCAACAGGTGACAGTAACATGCTAAGATATACTGCAATATATTAGAAAAGGCAGGGAAGAAGAAGGCCTCAGTAACAGCAATACAAACCAAAACTGTAACATTTTAATAAAGACAGTCTCATAAACTCCACTGTGAGCTAGGACTGAAACACTTGGTTTTTAGAGTGGAATATTTTAATTATGACAATAATGAATGAGGACAAAACAAATACATGCATTAGTAGATTAGTAAATTAATGGTTTTGTATGTCATTGTCTATTAAAGTCCTTTTTGATGAATGTAGTTTTAATATGTAATGCATTTAGTTACATTTTCTAAGATAGTCGGGCCTGTGCGTACACATGATGTGAGGAAGCTCTAAATTCTTTTGCAGAGTATGAAAAAATTCAGGTTAGAAAAACATAATGAATCCTGGACTTCTACCAAAATATTCACGCACATGGTTTCTGCACAGATTTGTGTTATGATGAGTAACACTGAATGTAAACACACATTTTCTATGTTTACAAGAAAACTAAACAGGGAACCTTAAAGTCTTACATCAGTGTTGTTGCCTTTGTCTTTCTACCCGTGGTGATGGACAGGTACTGTACACTGGGTTGGTCTGAGCTATTTACCTCACAAAAACTGCTGCTGGAAATAAGTTTAATAAGAGTTAAGTTTTGTGAAATATTCAGACAAAGAACCAAGGAGAGGCTAACAAGCTCTATGGAGCTGAATGAATCAGACCAGTGATTCACAGTGACACAAAATCGGTTTAGAACGTCGCAGAAAAAAGTTGCAGCGGTGTGAACTGGCCAGTCTAAGCACTGACTCAAGCGGGCTGATGGTGTCACCTGGTCCGCTGGTCAGATCACCGGTGCCTGGTTTTAGAACGTAAAGCTGGTGAAGTGTTTCTACAGCCAATCAGCTTGTAGTGAAGTCTGCTGGTCAAGTCAAAATGACCGCAGATGGCGTGTTTTTTATTGAATGCAAGTAGTTGCCTGTTTCAACTCATCTCGTCGCAAATCTTTGGTCTGAAGTAATTTCATCCATTGTTGATACTGAAAAATAATGATAAGTGCATGGTTTTATTTTATGTTTATCTAAGTCCAAAATGTTATTTTAAGCAGGTCGGTTAAAAGTGTTTCACAGTAATTTGTGTTCAAAATTAATCTCGGGCTGTCTCATCTTTCTCCTGTCACTCCAGTAGTAAAAAAACAAACAAAACCCACACACAGCTTCCAAACAGTATGTTTCTGTGTGTCTGTCAGGTAACAGTGATAGGCTTCACACTCGGTATTCCAGATGTCATCATGGGCATCACCTTCCTGGCAGCCGGCACCAGTGTCCCTGATTGCATGGCCAGCCTAATAGTGGCACGACAAGGTAAACACACACACACACACACACACAATCACAGGTTACCAAACTGTCATTTAACACAAACACACACACCTACGGCCCGATGGAAGCCAAACAACAGAATCAAAGTGAAGCCACTATCAAAGAGCCAGAGAGGGAAGGAGATGACAGAGATAGAGACGGCCAGGGGGGGCAAAGATTGTGGGCCTGTCATCTTTTTCCACTGTCCCTCTTCCGTCCCTGTGGTGAGGCTGTAAGAGAAGAGGGGGGGGTTGATAAGGGAAGACAGCCCGACAGGGTCTCTTCCTCCATCCTTTCATCTGTGTTTATTCTTGCTCCTGTCATCAAATATTTAAACGGCTCTGTCTGTCGGCGTGCGGGGGCTCGCTGGGAGACACACACTCGCCACTGCAGTTTAGTCGTCCATCCTTCGCTTTGTAGCTGCTGTCGCTTCATCACTGCGTTGTTTCTGTGGGATGTCAGGCGAACAGATAGCTCCACTAATCTCGCCTGTATCAACCCACCTCTGTCCCAACCGGTCGCAGCTTCTCCCCCACACACCCAGTGTAACTTCCTGTCTCCTCGTTGCCCACTCACTTTTCCTTTCATGCTGTCCCTCTGTACCTCTCTTTATCCATTCCCTCTGCTTCTTCTGCTTTACATCTCTATCTTTATCCATCTGTTCAGGAATGGGAGACATGGCGGTGTCCAACTCCATCGGCAGTAATGTGTTTGACATCCTGGTGGGGCTCGGCCTCCCCTGGGCCCTCAAGACTCTGGCTATCAATTACGGCTCTGATGTAAGTAACACACTCCTTAATGTACTTCATCCTCTTCTTCGTAGGGTCAAACCAGGACACACAGATGTCATACACATATTTCTAAAATCAGCGCAGCTTACTCTTTCCACTGGTGATGTCTAATGCAGTCTTTGTTTTGACATAAAAAATAGTTTTGGGAAAAAAAGAGGAAAAATGCAAAGTGAAAATAATAAATAAATATATAGTAAATAAATACATTTAAAAAGAA